GACTGTCACGTGGATCACTGCATGCTCATTTTCCATCCATGATCATTTTCTCCCGAGGAAGGTTTGCGCCTTCTGGATATTAAAGATGCCGGGCCAGCAACACAAGCAGTCAAGAGTCGCTATTTGGACATCATTCCCGGACACTTGATGAACTTTTTGCTCGTCTTGACAGGGGGTGAGTCAGCATTGGTTTCATTACCATGAACCAGAAACAAAATGCTAGTCACTGCAATAGAAACGTGCCAATAAAAAATGATTAAGCCGTGGACTACTGTCCACGGCTCAAGAAGTTTCGTACAACACCATCTGCAAGAAAGCAAAAGGTTACCGTCTTCTGAGACAACGACGTTATTCTGTTCGTCGACTGACCGACACCACGCAACTGGTAGGTGGGCCCAGGTGGTCCTCATTCCTTTACTTATTTACCTTAAAGTACATACTGTCGTAACAAGGCAGAGGTGGAATCCCTCAGTTTGGAAATCCAGAAGTAGGCGTAGATGGAAACAAAAATTGCCGGACAGCTTCCTACCTATTCCCAATCACACGACTATCGCTGCGGTAGGCCGAGGGATATCGCTGGATTGGGATATCGTTGATACAGGTATCTGAAACGTGTGAGGCAAACAAAGGGCGTTAGACTCGGTTATGTCCGTAAGCCTGCGCTCATCATGTTGCGGGTTTGATCGTATTATTGAAGCGCAAAAACAACGGTCGAAATCGAGGTTTTATAATCCATATTATTATACTAGTCTCACATTTCGTAACAACCTCCAGACATGCCCATGCAACGTGACGTGACGGTCGTCATTGATTGGAATACTTCGACTCTGTCGACATAACCCTTACTTCAGGATATTTCCATCCAACTGCTCGTCAAATGTCACAGTTCTAAGTGAGAGCAATCTTTCCCAAAAGTTTTTTTTTTGCGAAAACCAGGGGTTAACAGGGAAATCGGGTCGGAACCTGTCGGAACCCGATCCCTTGGTTCCATAGTTGGTTGTGAGTTATCACCGTTGCATTTGGAAAGCCGAGGTTGATTCGACACATCACACTGCATGTGCGCATTCGCTCAGCTGAAAATCCGGTTGTCACGTCATTGTTGACGTTACTCATGTGGGGACGTATGGACTGTTGTCTGCTGGAAAGCAATCGTTCTATTGAAAAGCTGCATTGACCGATTACGTATAAATCAAGATTGTTCCCATGCTATATCAAACCATGGTAACTTCGATTTAACATTTATTCCACGTCGGAATCTCCCATCACATACATGCCATCAACATTACCGTGACCTCTCATGGGTGAAAGACAATGGGATATTGGGACTCCGTGCAATTACCATCGTCGTCCAAGACCGAAATGTCAACATGATCCGAAATTTGACGGTAGTCCTTTCCTACCCGTTATTGATCATCCCTCTGTCGACACGCACCGAAGGTTTCCATTCTCCCCAAATGAACGGAATCCTCTTGTCAAAAATGAATACGAAGGATATCCGCAGCATAAATTTTGGTCCGATTCCTATCGTGTAATGAAGCCAACGAGATGGACGGAGCTTGAATGTTCAGAGGCTTGTCCCGGTGGAGGTGGGGCAGCTGCTTCACCTCTAGAGTTGGGTGCGTGGTGTGGGTCCGCAAAATGTTAGGTTTGTGCGAAGTTAAAATGCTAAATGTTTATGTTAATTTTCATACACATGTATTTCTATGAAATATCTGCTTTATGAAGCTGAACGAGAATGAACATGGAGACAAAACGTTTATTCTTTGTTCATCATGGCATCATTTGAATAGTGGTTTAGCAAAGGGAGGATCGAGGCCCGCCTCAACTGGGAACATGACATACCTGGTATGTGAAGAGCCGGATTAAAGGGAAGATTTTCTACAGTACATGTTTCACCTGCGAGAGCTGTCAGAGATCCATGAGAGGTAAGGAAGACTTCATATATTCTGACTTTAAAGGCTATGGCGCGCCGACCGATGAAGTGGGCCCACCGCCTCCTCTCCCCTCACTCCTATGCCACAAACCTGTGTTTTGCACGCCTTCCCCCTTCCTCAGGGGCAAGGGAACTTAGAACCAAGGTAGATAGAATATACAAGGGCCAGTCAAATGAAAGTGGGCCAGGGTGCTCTGGACACCGTGACATATATATGGACATACGCCCCGCCGGCGTCGAGGCTCTTCTCCCATTGTGTCACAAGCCGCTGCAGGGTGTCCTCCTACAACGTCTGTAGCAGCTGCTGCAGAATATCCCTAACTGCTTCCTTCACCTCGTCGTCCGAGAGGAAACGCTGGCTTTCAGGTCCCATTTCAGTGCCCCGAAGATCTGGAAATCGCACGGCGATACATCGAGTGTATATCGGCCATTGCTCATTGAGTTTCTGGCACATGGACACAGTCAACGCCGAACGCTACTGCCAGACACTGACCCGTTTGCGCAGCGCGATGAAGAACTAGCGCCCGTGCCTCCAGACCGATGGAGTCATCTTCCTCCACGACAACGTCCGACCACACACAGCGCAGAGTAACATGGACACGTTGCGCACATTTGGCTGGGAGGTGCTACAGCATCCAACATATGGACCCGATTTATCGCCCTGCGATTTCCAGATCTTCAGGGCACCGAAACGGGACCTGAAAGGCAGGCATTTTCTCTCGGACGACGAGGTGAAGGAAGCAATTAGGGATATTCTGCAGCAGCTGCTACAGACGTTGTAGGACACCCTGCAGCGGCTTGTGACACAATGGGAGAAGTGCCTCGACGCCGGTGGGGTGTCCTATATATGTCCATATATAGGAAGGGGGGGGGGGTTAAAAAAAAAACGCTCTGCCGTTTTCTATGGGAGAAACACAGTTTCATAAATATGGCAAAAAAAATTACATTGAATACGCAATCGATTTTTTTTTTTGCAAGTTACAAGGTGTTGAAATGCTTGCCAGCTTTTTTGCAACGTCCCTGCCTAAGTCGTGCAATACCCATTTAGAGGTGAATTAAAGGTGCTTAGAGGTGGATCATTCCACCTCAAGTGAGGTGCTTACCTGTGCTCGACCGTCTCAGAATTCATTGAATTTTTCAATTTTAACTTTTCAAGAGACAGTTGGATCCAGCTGATACTTGATAGAGAGGTTCATGAGTATAAGGTTTATTTTTTTCATTTCCGCAAGATGGCGCTGTATCCTCATAAAGGGCGCTGTTGTTGACCGGGTGACCGAGGGTAATTAAAAAGAGCTCCACCGTTTTCAAGGAGAAGCAAGTACGATTTGTGTATTCGGTAAAAAAAAATGATATTCATAAACTTTTGATATTGGACATATAGGTGTTGCTAAGAATTTTTTTTCTGGAAAATTCTCTGAGCCATGATTGTCCTGTTACACAGTTTACATGTGGAGCATTAAACCTTTTTTTAAAAATTACCCTCGGTTACCCAGTCAACAGAAACGCCCTCTATCGGGATACAGCGCTATCTTGCGGAAGTGAAAAAAACCCCCTTAGACTCATGAACCTCTCTGTCAAGTATCAGCTGGATCCAACTGTCCCTTGAAAAGCTAAAGTTGAAAAATTCATTGAATTCTGACACAGTCGAGCACAGGTAATCATATCTCTTGAGGCGGAATAATCCATCTCAAACAGGGGTGGATACAGAAATTTTTAATAGGGGGGGCGGTTCCAAAGTTCCTAACCCCCCCCGCCTACCATCATTCCTCGTCCTTTCGCCTTTTTATTTTTCGTCTGGGGTAAGAACTCGAGTATCTATTTCACTGGCTCCAATTAAATTTAATGCAGATGCTATTTTGAATAAATAAATCAAATCCAACCTGGCCATGTTTTTTTTTATAGTTTATTTTGGTACATGATGGGATCATTGAGAATCCAACGCAAACAAAACAAAGTCTGTTATTTCTCCACCAAGCTCATTTCCATGTAGCACACACAGCACGTGGGAGTGAAATTCTGCACAAAACAGCAAAACTCTCGTTTTAGAGACTCCCTAGCGTTGCCCTGGGGAGAAGCTGTTTGGCATGCCTGAGATAAAAAATTTATTAGAATAAAGGATTTTATTTCAATCTATGAACATGCGTTTGAAACCATACTGCTCGAACGTGTTGAAGAAAGGGTGACTGAGCCGTGCTTGTGAACCTTGACCTTGAGAGAAGAACGAGGAGGTTCAGAGATTTTCAAGAAGAGTCGCTCTTGCAGGTGTTTGATGAAGTTCTCAACAGCAGCCCATAGCACGCGTAACAGAATCGCCAGAGCAATAATCAGAATTCATTTGTGATGGCTGCTCCCGGTGAACACCATTCTGAGTCATCGTAGCTTGTTAACACAAGTGACAGTCGAATCTCTCGCCGAATCCGAAGTTGGAATCACGAAATCTTGAATCATGGGTATGACAATCCGAACTTGAATGTCCACTCTCAGAAGCATCCCTCAACAGCTGGGGATTCGAAACCGGGGCTCGAGAATACACGTCGAACTTGAGAATAGAATTCCAAACATGATACGTGAATAAGTTCATTTGTACCGAACTCCATCTCTCATGTCCTTATGTAAAGAAAAAGGAAGAAATTATTTTTTAAGCTAATGATCATTCAATGCCAGTGTTGGTTTTACAGAAAAAGTCAAAAGAGCATTCGGAATTAGAATCTTCTGAAATACAGGTGTCTGGTAAGTCACTCCCGATTTAAAATTTGCAATAACATTCGTACTTTTTGGACTAGAAGAATGGTTTTAGTGTCAAAAGAAGAGAGGGTTTTATGATTTCTTTGCAGTGACCCTCTATGGTGGCAAACTTGAATCTTTAACGCCGTGCGTCTCCATACCTCATACAGTGCAGCGATTTGCACACGGCGTCGAAGATTCAAGTTTGGCATATGGAGTGTCACTGCCAACAAAAAAATAAATCAGCGGCATATTTTGGCTGAAGGGTCGGGGGGGGGGGGGGGGGATGGACAGGGCAACAGGGAAGGGGGGCCAAACCCCCCCCGAGNGGGGGGGGGGGGGGGGGGGATGGACAGGGCAACAGTGCGGGGGTGCCAAACCCCACCCGAGCGATATCAGGTGGGTATATTATTACCTCCAAGGGGGAGCCAGGGGGGGGGGTAGCAGAAACTTTACTGGCTACAGAAATCGTAAGTGAGACATTCACCCTTCTTGTATGTGCTTTCGGGGAGGAGGAAGGCCTTGGAGTTCATTTGTAAATCACATCATATCTATACATGAAATGAGAATAAATCACCAACACTGAGCTACCTTTCCATGAAGAGCAAAGCATTCATATTATTCTGTATTGAAAAACACCAGGTCATGAGATGTTGGGTAGAACTCTCCAAAATATGATCCTCGAAGCTTTGAGAATGAACAAGACCAATATCAGCAGAACAATGCTTCTCTTTGTGAAAAACAGGGATAACAAGCATTCAAACACCACCCAATAATCAAGAGACACATACAATCCATTGATGAGGTCAGCAAAACTCCTCCTGTCATAGAGATAATTCTATCACATGCTGGGAATGATGGATGAATACCATGATGCTTTCTGGGAGCTGAAGGTTCACTACACAGTTGAATAAAAAATCAGGATACGATTCTTCAATCAATTCAGCACATGTGACACTCTTCAGTCAAAATGTAATGCTGAGAATGTCAACACCCAAGTCACCTGCAAGAAAGCATCTATTATCACAGGGGAAATTTGGAAATTACAGTCAGTCCTTGATATGGTGCCACTGTTGGTTATCTCTGATTTTGACAGTGTAGGTGGTAAATTCATTGAATGAACCACAATATGCCAGTGGCTACATTACCAAAATCTTCTTTACATTGTTGAAAAGGAAAAATTTACTAAATGGATGTGAAACTTGTATTGTTATCCTTAGCCCCCTCTGATACTCTAAACTTGTCTACGTACTATCAATTCTATGGGTAAGAGCCATCTGTTGTGTTGGCAACAAATGTTTAGCTGTTTCCAGTACTGGATAATGGTTTTGGCATACTTGGTGCTGAATCAAGAAATTAGGTGGTAAAAAGCACATTTATACAAATAATGGTGTTGGTGGATGGCAGCTTAAGTATGGTGTTATAAATGGGGCATGGTTTATCATGGTTTATAAGCTTATGGAGAAGTCTTTTCTTAGGAACGAGCCGGTAATGAGCAAGAATGGCAGTATATCAGGGTTTGGCTGTACAAGGAGTAAGTTCCAACTGCAGGTATATTAGATTATTCAGTTATTCTGCTCCTTCAAGACTTTTTTTATGATTCACTTCTGGCAAATTTCAGTGGCTGCATTTGTACATACAAATTTTATCATACAGAGCAACCCCAAAAAAGAGAAGCCCCTATCTTTATATATGATTATAAGAAACACAAGTAGCATGAAGAAAAGCTGTTCTGAGTGATATTTCCTCATTATCAATACAAATACTCAATAGATCCTACTTTCTATTCAATGGCATCTTGCAAAGGTGCACACCACTGTCAAATTGTGCACTGCAACAAGCAGTTGGGCATGGCTTGCCAAAAATAGATTATTGCTCTATTAAAATCTTCAATTCTCTGGGTTTTGCTTTGGTTGAACTTTCCTCACAACATACCTATACTAAGTAAATAGCAGGGGTCTGACTTCTTTTTGCAAAACTGCTCACAATCAGAGAATTGCAAAATATCAGGCACAAACTTTTTCTTCCAGCATGATGGTGACACCTTAGGCAATTGTTGAGTTCCTGTAAAATGAGTGCCAGATGTTATTAAACTTCACATGTGGTCCCCATTAGCCCAATGCAGAAGTTATTGATTCACTTTGTATGGGTTAGTATGCAGTATGTTGCAAGAAAATTTATATCAAGATGAAACCAGGCACATTGAAGACTGAAAATAGGCAATTGTTGATTTCCGGTGAGCCATGTCCTCCAAGTTGTTGCAGAGTGCAGCTGAACAGCAGAATACTCAATTGAAACATGTCACCAAAAAACAGGACAAAGGAAATACCAAGTTTCTGTATTATGGAAATAAAGAGAAATCATATTTCATTTAGAACAATGTTTTTTCATCACAGGTGCCACTGCTAAGCATTATAATTACATGAATGGAAAAAGGTTATTTTCTTTGGGATCACCCTGTATATTTCAATGACGTATTCCAACGACATCCAATGGAGCCAAATTTTGGATTCCAATGAGAGTGCTACCAACCTGCACCATCACTGGCCACAAGTACAATGTTACATGCTAATATGGCTGTGTGACCAAAAGCAGAAAGCATAGTAAGTGGTTCTGATGAATCCTCTTCTTCATCATATCTTCTAATGCCATTTCCATTGCCAAAAACAGAGACAAGAATCCCTATCTTTTCTTAAATATTAATTTTAGGTCCTATTTGGGTTTCCCCATTAATACAATGCCAAGTGCAATAATTCCATACATATTACTTATAGTCCAAGAGTGAATTAGAAATTAGACACACTTTTAATTATGGATCTTCTTGTACCAATGAACAACATTTGCTGTTGATATGCAAATTAGTCCCTTATAACACTTAATAAGTCCACCAGTCTACCTACTTCATGACTCTTGCAGCATAGAAGTCTTTTGGATCCCCCTGTTGTCACTCCTGCACCATCTGATTCACTTTGTCATGATTGATGAATCCTTGGTAACAGATTAATCCTTAAGTTGGCCAAAAAAAAAGGAAATGAGAGGGGACAAGGTCCAGAACATACAAAGAATGTGAGAGCACCACCTGCTATATGTCCTGCACTTGCTGGTAAGGTGGATGGATAGTTGGTATGGTGGTATGAAAACAGGCATGATTGTGTTGCAGCAAGATGTTTTTGTTCAGTCATCTGTGCCACTTTGCTTCGGATGTTTGCCCTATACCCTTTGAACAGTAAGAATGTACATATAAATTTACAAACTTTTGTATTATGTAGTACAATTGTACATATATATGAAATCTTGCTGCAATGCTGGTGGGAACTGTTACCCTTTTGAACCATTGGGCTCTATTTGAATTCCATAAATCAGAATCAGGAATATAAATAGGACTTTGATTCTTTGCAATCTCTAGTCAGAGCCACCAGTGATTCAAGATGGTGTTCGAAGGAGACCAAATGTTTTTATTGATCCCGATACCCTAGAATTGATTTGGAACCATAAATTGAAACAGATGAAGATGAAAAGAAAGAGTCTGACCAATCAAGTTATTAAGGTGAAACTGTGAACCTGAAAAAAGGGAATGTGAAATTATACCTGGAGTTACAGTATTGCCACAAGCAAGGGACTGAAAAACTACTGCCAAACCAGGGGAGAAGAACAAGTTTAGACAGTCTTTCTTTGATTTTCATCCTGTCAACTCATGGAATCTCAAAAACACTGACAATACCTGATGATCCTTCTGAATTGGATCTGTTTTGAAGATGAGAAATTTTGATGATATAATGTATAATTTTGCAAGTGATCCAATAGATTTCACACCTGTGGAGAAGGTTAGGTGAAGGAAAAATCTAAACTGCACAAGAGGCTGGTCACTACTATTGCAGAATTATTCATGTATTTTGGCATTCTCATGTTCATGCTACACATCAAGATGCCTTTTTTTGGGCAAGAAAATGTTCAAATTACCAGTTCATGATTCTGCTTCATGGTGGTGACAACAGCATTGGAGCTCCTGGCAACAGGCTATACAAGGTAAGAGCTATTGTTGCGAAATTGAGAAAAGGTTTTGTTAATATCTCAGTCCTTTCCAGAACTTATGCACTGATGAAAGCTTGATGCTTTTGGAAGGGCCTCTTGCCTCTTGTTGGAAAACACAGTGTTCAAAGGGTCAACTATAGCAACAGGCTATAGTATGCTGTCCCTTCTGACTTTTATATGTTTGATCCACTCAAGAATGCATTCCAAGGTTGAAGATTCATTGATGATGGTGAAGTGAAACAAGTGATAAAATGGTGGCTACAGGGGAAAAGGGACTTCTTTGCTGCAGGAATTATGAAGTTGTTAGACTGGTAGACAAAATGTGTGAATGATGTTGGAGACTACTGTTAATAAATAACTGCCAACATTTTGCTCATATCATGTATACAAGCTGGTCTATAATTATACTGTCTTTATTTCCCATTGACTCTCTTACTCTAGTTGGTACAGACCCTGCACTTGCCATTGCACAAATGGGAACAGCCTGAATAAGGCATATAATTACCCAGCTCCCAGATAGTGGTTGTGACCTGATGATTGCTGTTATGCCTTAACTGTATAGGGGTGCTGCAAACACAACCTCATTGGAATTCACCATTGATGGAGTGGGGAGCTAACCAGAAATCCTGTGAAAGATGCCATCAGGCCTTCCTTGGAGAGTTCCCAGAATCCACCATAGTTTTCCTCATCTTCCTTCTGAAAACTGGTTGAGTAGACATACACAACTGCTACGTTTGCCGCCAGGAATCTATGAAAACAAGAAAGCCACCTCTTGGAAAATAAATGATAAGCTTCATCAACTGCTCAAAAATTGCAATGAGACTGACATCAAAGGCAAGCAGGGATTTGCAGGGTGGACCACTCTTGTAAGGTGGTCTACATAAAAGTATTTTTAATACCCTTTTCACCTTTAAAGGTGATGGAAACCAGGATTTTAAAAAGTACTTAGAAGAATCCAAAATTTTAAAAATTCTATTCCAGGTCATCAATAATGTCACAACTGGCTAAGAAGCAAAGGCTTTCATCACCAGTTGACACTAAAGTTTCAAAGGAAAGGGACAATTGAAAATAGAACTACTGCAACCTATGTGCATGTCAGCTATGATTGATGAAATTTGAATGCAGATCACATAAATCCCAATAAATTTTTTGTAAAATGCAAATTGGAGGTTATTTATGCTGGTTAGGGTTGCAACCTTGAGATTTGGCTAGGGAAATAAGACATATTGGTGCTGGTATAGCATGCACTCTACCGTAAAGTATGATCTAAAGAGATAATCAAAAAGAGATGGCAAGGGGGGTTAACTTTAGAATCTGTTACCATACCTTTGGGAGCAAATAAGTGTGATCATACATGTATCTATATGGATATATTGGTAATATATATATTTTTTTCCAATGGCACTTTTTCCTATGCCCTTCTGGTCTAGTCTTCATCATTCTGGCAAGACCTGTATTGTACTGGCACAGTTGATGGACCCCCATTATTTTTTTCCAGGTTCGGAGTCAAAGGCCAAAGAGGTTGATTTTCTCACTCTTTTGGCCCAACAAAGAAAGAATGCAGCTCCCTTGGGTTTAGTAAAAACCCAAAAGAGCATATAGGGAAGGTAGAGCGCACACTACACTGAGAATGTTAAGGTAGAGTGCACATTATACCTGCACCGACAGCTTTAAAAAAAAAAAGTAGAATACACAACTCAGTTGGTAAAAAGCCATCCTTTAGATTTCTCGTGATTTTGTGTGACATGCATTTGAACATACATCAATGATCTCTTTTGTGAGCAGAGGTGATACACCATCAAAATGTCCTTTGCTTTTGTTCAACTACCCCATACATGTGAAACATCCTAAAATCAGGTTTGGGGCAGTTAAAGTCTTCTAATCCAAATATCAATATGAAGGACTGAATAAGTTACTTCTCTTCTTGAAATGTTATGCAAAATAAACCAATAATGCTGGAAAAATACTTGGAAGGTCCCACTAGCAGATCCAAGAAAAGCAACAAGTAAAAAATGATAGCTACTCTTTTAGAAAAGCCACTGAAACATTAAGTGATTACATATTTTGGGAAGTAATGAGTAACAGTGACAAGCTACTTTTTAAATGTTATGATCTCTCAACCCAAAACAATTTCTAGATGCAGGATGTATGAAATGGCAACTTGATTTGCCGTTTCACAAATCCAGCCATTGGTGTTCATTCATACTTCTGGTTAATTCAATAACTTCTTGTTGGCATCCTCTTCCAATTATATGCAGAAATAATGTGAAAAAAGAACATTAATTTTTTTTACACCCTGCACATCTGTCAATCTTAAAATAGGGTCATTCCAACTCAATTCACTTAATTGAAAAAATTTGTTCATTGCCCAGCCACCATTTCTGATTTAATAAAAATAAGTCTTCATAACAGAAGTTGCTTTGTCTTTTCTCCATATTTTTATGTTTAATATGGACTGTAGAATTATTTGAATTTTGGGGTGGGGCTTACTTTACCAAAAACAGGGTTGCTTAAAAGACTCATACCTGGAAAATTTACATAGGTCAGGGGTAGACAAACTACAGCCCTCGGGCCGGATGCAGCCTGTGACAGCACTTTGAGCAGCCTACCAGCTGCTATTATTTTTAATGCGGGTAGTTCCATGCCTCACAAAGATGTCAGTAAGTCACCTGTTTCAGGGTTCTATGGCCTGCCAAGGCTTGTGTTTTCTCATGAGGCCATTAGGCTAAAAAGTATGCCCACCCCTGGCATAGGTAATATTTTGGTAATGGTCTCATTTCAAAAAAGGGGCCAAGGAAATTTTGAATATTGCTTTATACCAAAAATATGCAGATGCCAACAATTTAAAGATTCTTTATTAAAACAGCCCTTACTTTATAAGTGACACTTTCTCATCAGCAACAGTAAAAGTCTTATTGCTGAAACTACAATAATACCTATGCTCCTTGAACCTGGTTTCTTAGGGTCAGAGTTCTGAATTTGTTTACAAATCAGCTACTTTGTCAATCCATCCCAACTCAATGTATGAAAAAAAGGTTTCACATTCACAGACTCTGATTCTCCTTCTGACTTCTTTTCTGGGAGAATATTCCTCTCCAATTTTGCATTCACCCAAGCAGATGGATATGAAAGGAATTAAAAGGGTACAAGACAGAGAAACTCAGATGCTTAGACAAGTTAAGGTGGTTGGCTCAAAATCCAGTCAATCACCACCACACCTTGAGAAGAATCAGTTTCCAACCATCCAGCATATTGAGTCAAAACTTCCAGCATTCTTGATTATGAAGAAGAAATGCAATTAGAACAATTTCCTTCAGAGGGGAATAGAAGCTCTCAGTTACCAAATACAATTTCAAAGGCATTTCTTTCTCCATGCAAATGCATCACAAATAATGGACAAGGATTCTTGAGGGAGGCAGTATATTTCATGATAGAGGAAGATTTCATTTTGCTGAAGGAACAAAACATGTATGAATTCAGCAAAAAATAGATTTAAAAAAGTATATTTGAAAATATTACATACTGCTTCTCCAGTCAGGATTAAACAGTTGCACTAGTCATGGGCCCTCAAAAAGAGTCCTTCCTATATAAGAAGTAGCACTGTAAGAAACAAAATGAGGGAAAAATAACTGGAAAACTCACAAGATTATGCCAAATATGCCTTGAAAAGGGATAAACCCCCAGCATACTCCCAAAATTATACCAATCAACTGCCGAAACCAGTAAATCACATCAAGGAATTCATCCTGAAGGAAGAAAACAGATACCAAAGTTGCATTCCTAATATTTCCAAGCCATCCAAAAAGGAATACTTGAGAGAATGCTTACTTTCTCATCCCATTCTGATGCCCGTGTTATGGCTTTCTTCCACACAGCAGAAGCGGAAGATTTCTTCTGCACTGGAGTCTTTAAGCTCCCTGAAGTACTCATGGTGGAAGACATCATATGAACTGGAAGTGTCCATAAACTACAGGATATAATGTCCTACACAAAACTTATTGCACTCATACAATTTTATGTAAATGCATACAGAACTGTAAGAAAAACAGAACATGATTGAACCTTGAAATGAGAAGGAAACAGATCAACTAAAAAATCATGCATGCAATCCATGGAAATATCAGACATCTTTCTCTTTCAGCTGTTGCAACTCATTAGGCAAAACTATAAATCAAGATTCAATGGAATATGCCATACTCATTACTCATGATGAGCATTAACTAGTAATTTAAATTTTTTTAGCAATTGAAACCAATAATATTATCTATCACCAAGGTTGACCCATCTCTTGGATATTTCCCATCATTTCTATCAAAAACTCCAAATTTGCTTGGCTCATAATCTGTTTTCTTCCAAGGAAGAGACTACCTAGATTCTTGGATCCTAATCTGATGACATGAGGCAGGCAGTCCATGACATGCAGTCATAATAGGAAATAAATCACTAATTGCATTTTATTGCTGCCTCTCAGAAGTGTGCATTATAAAAAGATGTGGTATATATCTATGTGTAAGTCATGCCAAGGAATGAGTAGTAGAATACTAGTATGAGCAGATTACATGCTTTATATTAGGGTTGGGCTTGATGAGAAAAAAATCAAGATCTTGTCAAGATGACAACTATGTCATAAGCAGGTAAATATAAGGGGAGACAGGGCTGTTTCTAGGCATGTTGGCACCCAGGGAAAAGGAGTTCCAATGGTGTTCCCCCCACCTTACCCCACTGGTGCCCTGGGCAATCACTCGCCCCTAGAAACAGCCCTGAGGGGAGAAAAATCCAAACAAATAAATCAATATTCCCACTTGACAGGGTGTTAAAGGTGGAGGACATCTTATCAAAACTTGGCAAGAAACGAAATTCAAGATCTTGCCAAGGGTCTTGCTTGAAACCCAACTCTACTTTATATCCTGCCTACAAGTTATGCATACCCATGAACAGACAAAACATAGCCAGAAAAAAATGTCGCCATTGAGAAAAAGGTGGTTCTGGTTTTTTATACCCAGATGGCTGGAAGTTGAACTAGGATAGGCATAGGGAGGAAGTTTCCTTCAGGAAAAAGCTGAGTACCAAGTACATGTTAATAATATTCTTTCAAATTAAGAGATCCCATGTAGATATTCACAAATAAGTCCATAAAGGGGAAATCACATGACAGATTAAGTTCAATCACAGGACATTAATGTTGACAACGTGTCTAACGTCAAACAAGAATTGTACAACATCCCGATTAGCAAAGTCAGCTACCATTATGCTGAGAGCCTCATTTATTCGTTGATACTTCTTTTTCTTCAGAGGTGGTAAGCCTTTCATACTGCCGATTTTTTTACTGCATACAAATGTTACTCTTACAGCAGCTTCTGAGCAAGGCGCACAGTTGAAGGATGCGCGATCCCAACAGAGTGATTGAATGCTTGGTGCCACCACTCCAATGTGTTGTTGCTTCTTGGTAGGTCATCAAGAACACGGTGGTATTGGTTCCATAATGGAATGGGAATTCGGGGTGCAGCTCTTTGTCCTCTCCGAGATCTTCCGATATAATTATCTTTGAAATAATCCAAAAGAGGATCAAAATTGCAAAAATCATCGCTGCCTACCAATTCTTTGTAGGCCACAGCTACTTGGTCAGGTGGAACAAATGACCTTCTAAGCTTAGGGGCATCTCAGCAGGGGAGTAGGAGTCTCATTCATCAGACATTTTTAAAACAGTAGGATTATGGGTGAGGAGGACTTGTAAGGGGGGCAGATAAAGAGGAAAATACTCTTTTTCCTTGGGTTGCTTCCCTCCCCCTCACCAAGAAATGTCAAGGTGTACATCAACCCTTCATTAAGAAAAGCATTTAAATTCCTCTCGCAAATAACTCGCCGAAAGTAAGAGGCGTGGGAACATAAAGGCTTCCTGAAATGGTTTCAATGACCTATTGTCTATAGATGGCTATCATGTTAGCTGTATGTTCATTGAAAAGGTTCTTTTAAAATGCTAGTGGGTCACTTTTGGGTCCATTTGTTGACTTTTACGCACGATTCCATGACCATCTGCGCTATCACTCATATTTAATTACGCAAGCCTAATCGTGTATTTTGTCAAGCGATAATGTCTCATTTACATTTGTCCAAAAAAATTTTTCCATGACATTTTGTCCTGCGACATTCTGTCTGATGACATTTTGTCCAGGCGACATTTTGCCTTAGCACTGTTATAACCTAATGAATTTAAGGGTGTTTTTTCTCTCTGCCAAAGAAATCAATGTTACAATTGTTTAAATTTCAAACCAATACTCTTCCAAATGATTTTGAAACATCTATGGCTTTTCCTGTGCTTTGGAACAGAAGAAATCTCTGCATTTACAATTTCTTGGGTTGATACTTCTTCATCACATTTTCTACTAAGAGCACTGCATTGAGACCCTCAGAAATGTGTCATTTTCCTCTCATCTGCCTAGCAGCTCTCCTCTTCAATTCCATACTTCTACAGCTGCTTTTAACTTGTATTCTTGCTCTACTACACCTAAGACACCATCTCCCAACCCTCAATGGTCAATCATATAAAGAGATTACTGGGAAATTCATGTAGGCATATAAGGCTGTTTAGTTCTATATTGTCGTATCTGGACATATCCAGGGTGAACCAGAAGTAATGGCTCACACTTCTTGGTACAATTACATGCATTTTCTTCAAAGAACATACACTAGGTAGCCAAATTGCCCTAATAAGTAACTGGAAAATTCCATCACAATGAATACCATTCTACCACACAAAAGTAACACATCACCTTCCAATATTTTCCATTTATTGATAAACCCGAGCATTGCCAACATGCAACCATGCTCACAGGACAGTCTGACACCTGTCTCCATGCTCTTCTGCACATTTTTGACGTTTAAATCTGGTGCGATCACATCCAAAAGGTGGTTGAGGTCATGGATATGGTGGGCATAAACCACAATTTCTTGGGTATCTCCTATAAGGGAAATCTGATACTGTTAAGTCTGGTAAGTGCAGAAGGTCAAACGCTTCAGCAACATGTGCCACATTTTCCAAGGTGTGTGCTTTTTTTGCATACCTAGGTGCTTACTCCATGACTAAGTCCTGTTACATTAAATGTTTTGCACAGACACATGATCATCTGGCACTGGCTTCCACAATTCTATGTTGTAACTCAGCAATATTTCTGTTATGGAAAATAATCTGACTCATCTAATTCTTTTCTCAGGAGATAGCCGTCCACATCCAATGTTGCTTCATGAGTAGACAATGGGTTGTAGATGAATATGACAAACACATTCTGTGATGTACTTACAAGCCATTACAAAGTTACAGAGCTTTGAATCATGAGTCATTACATCTGGCTCACCCAGTATTTGCTATGCAGTCCATAAGGTCGGATGTAATAAGAATCAAACATACCCCACAGACCCAAAAAAAGATTTGTTTGAAAACCTCATATGCGGACGAATAATTCGTCCCCAGATGTATTCAAAGGCAGCTATCCATTGGTAGTTCAATTGATAAATTATGCAGAAAACTCATTTTCATGATTTACTGCAATCTTATCATAACAGGAAGGACAATGTAGTAAGTTTAATATAATTTAATATAGACCTGTCGACATGCCGACTCGACTAGAGACTATGCCTAGGCCCATCTACAAGATCTTGACTTTCGCCAGTGAAAATCAGATAATACTATGCCTCCAATAAAAACGACCGGCGAGAAAACTGAACATTCGGAGACAATGCGCCACGACTGAGTTCTGAACAAGACCGAGACTCTGCTCCAAGCAGACGATAACGTGAAGAAAGCATGGCCACTTGTAGGTGAACCAGTGTGAAAACGGTGTTGCCGGAAAATTGAGACCCCACTAAGTTCCAGACAATAGTGGCACAACATAATTCTCGGCAAGTGAAGTTCACAGAAAAGACTTCTGTCAACATCCATACAGACTTAAGAACGAATGTACGTACCTTAATATCAGAAATCTGTCTTAAAGTCAATCACTGTTGACAACGACTCTGTCAGCTTGCCTCAGTGATGCAATCTGTGCCTCTGGCACTCGTGCTGGCAGTCCGAGCCATCTTTGCTCATTTGAAGATCGTCTCAAGTTGTCGCGAGCACCTCTAGGCCTACAATTAATACGAAGAAGAACCTTTGATTTATGACTTGGTTTTCGGGAACTGTCTTGGACTCGATATGAGCTGCTGAGGTAGGCCTGGACCCATTTAGACCTAACTTTAGGCCTATCATGTTAGCCTCAACAGGCCAAAACAGAGAATAAAGAATATTCATGCTCAACGCAATTGTCTCAGTGTACATGACTGTGTAAATGCCTAGGACAAGAACTAAAACAAATACAGTTGCTGTAGAATTTGCTAAGGCATTTGATACTGTCTTCCCATGTGACACTGGTAGCTACAGTGTCTGCTGATGAATTCATATCACCTTTTACATTTTGTAATGTCATTTCTTTGGTGCTTCCAAGGAAGTGCTGGTATAACTATTACAATAAAAGTAATGACATTAGGCCTATGGAGCCCATGTCAAAAGTGGTATAAATTCATTTGCAAAATACTGTGAACTATCCCATTATGGATTCTGCAGTTCACTTCAGGGTCTGATACACTTCATGGTGGGGTGCAGACAGAGGATAGTTATACATATGACTGGGACCATGTTAGATGGGGAGCTGGTAAAAATCAGATATTCCACAAAGAACAGTTCATGGTCCTCTCATGGCCATATTTTTTAATAATAACTTTGTCCAATAGATCCATTCCCAAATGAGGTTATTTAAACTGCAACTGCAATGTCTGTTGGGAACATTCGAACACCAATATCAAAACATACCAAGCACTATTGCATAGCACTATGAAGACCCTAACAGATTTAGGAAATGGTCTGAGAACTGGGCTGTGGTTTTTATGCCAGGCAAATGCAAGGTTTCTAAGTATATTTGTGCATAGAATTCCCTTATGTGAACCTTTGTTTCCCACTAGACCTTCTCTTGAGGCAGTAACATTTCTGTAAGGACTTTTGATATTGCCACCAATGAAAATTTTAAATACAAAAAAAACATGAGCACCATGACCACTGGCTGGCAGAGTATGTACCTTGTTGAAGCTAAACCTCTGAAGTTTCTGAAGAAGCTAAGGTTGTTTTTTTCTCCCCATCATTGGATAAGATATAAGTTTTGGAATTGTGGTGACTCATGAGGTGGGAGATATATAAGCACTAAGGAAAGTACAGAATAGATCAACTCCAATATCCACAAGTAATAACAGCTGGGACACTAACTTTTTGGGGTAAACCCTTGGATTACACTCTAGGAACATGATGCAAGAATGTAAGACTTGCTCATCTTCGTAACTTCCTAAATGTTAAGCCTGACTTCAATGATAGAAGTTCCCTTTTGATGAATAAAACTGAAGAAAGGACATGCAAGACCTAGTTTTACAACATATAAAGTATTCATGCCAGATTGATCTTAAGAAGTCCTACCCTGAAAAACACATGGTCAATGCAAATTTGATTTGCTTGATGAACAGAGAACACACCCATGAATCAATGCTAGATTTAGTGCAGATTAGTGATATAGGAGAGATGTTTATGGGTGATTCTATGACAAATCAAACAATGGGTTACACCCTACCATCTCTGATTTTGATTAAATTTAGTATACAGGGTTTGAATGTCCCAAAACTCAGATATCACATTTCAGCCTCATCTGGTCAGTAGGTCAGATGCTACAGGGTAGTAAAAACTTGCTAATCTTCAATTTTGGTATCGCTATAATTCAAGAACTATTTATGCTAGAGCCTTGATCAAGGTGTCAATTCATTGGAAATTACTTGAGGAATAGAAAATTGATGTAATGGCAACACTTGAGGAAAAAAAAAACAGTTATTTATCAACAAAAAATTTGACCTTCAAACTTGGGGTGAAACCCCAAAATAAATTTTTTTATTTATTAAGAAAAAGACCCATGTCTTTGCTACCCATATGCAAAATGACAAAATACTAACCCTGTCTCAGTTAAGTAAAACCTTTTTGTTTTTCTCTCACCTTGCCTTGGGGGTTGGGAAAGGAGGGGAAAGAAAGGTTTTTCTTAACTGAGACAGGGTTAATATTTTTAATATTCAGTATGGAAATTTTTGAATCAGCAGATCCCTGTTACATGAAGCATGCCATTGCAAGTGATTGAATGTTGGTTGAGGGTGCAACATGGATTAGATTTAGAACAGGGTTGTCAAATTCAATTTGGCTGGGGGCTGGATAGGTTGGTTTGGGCATGGTTGGGGGCCTCACTAATAAATCATGCACCAAACTTCTAAAGTTAACAACTTGATATTTAAAGCACTTTTCCGAAACATGCTGTTGAAGAAAACTTTGTAGGCTGTTCAAAATGGACTGGCAGGCCTGGTCAAGCTTGCAGACTGCTAGTTTGACACCCCTGGTTTAAGCAATTATTGCATGGTGACCTCTCTCTGTTATGAAAATGCTCCAATTTTGGTGCTCTAGCACCAATGGTTATTGAGATAGTCAACCCTAAAATAAGCTCTCTTGAGGGAAAAGTGACCTAATTGGTATTTTGACTACCTTCAATCCTAATTAAGCAAGAAAAGAGTTCGACAGTTGACAGTCGAACCTGTCACTATAAATCAGCGTTGTCAATCACTTCACCAGATGTAGTATTTTGTACCATATACAGATCTTGAAAAAATTATTTGAATACTGTACTATACCAAAATCTGAACCAGAGAAAATCATTGGACATTCATCTTCCTAATAATTTTACATCAGTCATGTACACATGGCAATATCTGTGTAAACTTGTCAAGTGGCATTGAATTATAAAACTATCTCAGTTTGAGTTGAATGTATATCAACTTCCCAAGATAGGGACTGCATTCTTATGGTGAGGCTGTGGTCACTGGAGTGTCTTTTCTCAGGAAAAGTAAATGTACATGCAAGTCTAAATGTAAACCTGGTGAAATGATCCAATTGTCAGCTACACAGGGTTATAAAATATCTCAGACATTTCAGTCAAGAGTCTACCTAGTCAATAAAGGGTAAAGAATAAAAGCAATTACAAGAACTAGAGAAATGTCACTCTTTGCTTATACTTGAGGCAATCCAGGTTTACTGAATTACAGCTGTTTATAGGTCTGTTGGGATTTACCTGGTTGTGTCACCAGGATTCCCACCATTAACCCCTTACATGATTTGCCCAAGCAGTGTTTGGGCATATCACAGGTTAAATGTTGATACACATTTACCCCCACTGCACACACCTATGAAAAAATATAAATAAAAATTAAAATATAGCAAAATTATGGTGCAAATTGATGTATTCTGTTATTGAAATTTTCATAGAAATAAATCTAAAATGAAATTGGACTGAATTTTCAGTAAAAAAAAAGTAGACATGGAAGGAATTAAGTAATTTTGGTTAATTATTTCAAGAGATCAGCATGAATTCAAAAGTGCAAAAAATCCCACAAACTTGAAATTTCAAAGGAGTAGCATATATCCTCAAAAAGGTCTTAGAGGGGGATTTCATTTGGCAAAAGCTTCCTGTTTTCATCCTGTTTGAAACAGGAAATATAAACTGTAAAATTTGGTGGAAAATGGCAAAATTGGATTTTTCAAATTTAATTTGCATTGTTTCAAAGTAAGTGACTTTATTTTTATTCCATTTCATTTTTATTGGCTAGTATTGCAATGTTGGAAAAGCCCATTGTGTTACCATGATTGCCACCATTCGTAATTATAGTGTGAAATTTTGAGTTTTTTGAAAAAGTTAAAAATCAATTTACTGGAATTTGTCACAGAACTAAGAAAATGACATTTGTAAAATCTGATTGAGGTTTTTCTCAGCTTTCATTTAAGCCAAAAACTCCATTCCTAGTTCAATTAGGGCCATAGGTAGCTGTTTTACAAATTGGGTTGTTTTTCCCCCGGGGGAGCTAACTTTGGGGTTGATTATTTCAATTAACCATTAGTGCTAGAGTGCCAAATTTTTTAGAGTTTTCATAACTTAGAAAGGCCATCATGCATAAATTTTCTAAATCAAATCCTTGTCACACACACAACCACCATTTGGATCACTTGCTAGAATGTTTCATATGTGAAAGGGACCTGCTGATTCAAAAATTTCCACACTGAATATGTAAAATATGAGTATTTTTTAATTTTGCATATGGGTAGTGGAGACATGGGCCTTTTTCAGAAGTTTTTTTTTTTTAGGTTTTTATTTTTGGGGTTTCCTCCTAAGTTCAAAGGTAAAATTTTTTAGCAATAAATATCGTGTGTTTTTTGTTCAAGTAATTTGGGATTTATTTCAATGTTTAATTCCCCAAGTAATATCCAGTGAATTGACACCTTGATCAAGGCTCTAGCATACATAGTTCTTGAGCTACAGGGATATCAAAATAAAAGGTTAGCAGGTGACCCTAAATAAACTCTGTAGCATCTGACCTACTGACCAGATGAAGTTGAAACGTGATATCTCTAAGTTTTGGGACATACAAACCCTGTAAATTTAATCAAAATCAGAGATGGTAAGGTGTTAATTTACCAGTTTTTTGGACAATTCGTCATGGAATGACCCTCATGTAATTTTTGCTATTCCATTTAAATACTGGGTGGTTATAAAGTCCTGTGGGGTGTTTACAGTTCTGTAGTGACCAAAATAGATGGAGTTGGATCACAAAACTTTCAGGGCGCACAGATAATGACATGGGAAGGCCATTTGCATCATAAAAAGTCAAGATGGCACCACTATTATCCCAGGTGGCAGCACCATGACCCATTGCACAATATAAAGCCAGACCATCTGTCCTGGATGCACACTCTGAAGAGAGCACGAAAATAATGACCCCCCTAGCAAAAGGCTAGTCTCATCAAGCATTATTATCTTAATGGATGCAAATCTGAGCAAGCTCTTTGTGTATATCAGACCAAAGCAAGAACCCTTAGTGGGCCCTGTACAATCCAGTGATGTAAGCGATGGTGCTGCTACCTGGGATGATAGTAGCTCTATCTCAACTTTTATTTCCATTCATGTCTTACGGGAAGGTGGGGTGATACATCCATGATCAACCCATGCCTCCATTATAGCAATGGTCTGCAATACAGAATCATTTGTCCTGCATACATTTGGACCTTGTTGATACAGCATTTTGTGTTCAACAATTCGTATAATTTCTATGTTTTTATTCAAACCTCAGGGCTTCAAGTTTCCTCCATTCATCTTTCCATCAGCCTCTTTCAGGTTTGCAGATTGAGCAAAATTTGCTGACGATTTAAGGATTGGAGGTGACACAGCCACAATGCACATATTTCCCTTGGTCATCTGCAATATCATTGTCTGGAATGATGCCTTTGACCTTGAATACTGACCATAATTGACCTTCCAGCAATACTTTTGAAGGGGTTTCATTTTCCTGCACATTTGCCTTTGTTTTGGTTTCAGATTCTGATTGAGTCATGGTTACTGTTGAAAATTGTCATGTCTGCTGTAAGATAAATTGACCAAAAATCTAAACATTGAATGCATCTATATTTGCAATTTTTAACATTTTGAGTCTTGGCAATTTGAATAGGACATATGGACAGAATATATGGGCATAGGGCATCATATGACAGCTGCAGGACTCAAAGTGTTAAAGATGAATTAGTGAAAAGACATTACCCCTTCAAAAGTGGCTGAAGGTGGTACATTTAGTAATCATTCTCAAAATTTTCTCACAATTAACCCAATGTATCGATAAATACATTGGGATTTTGAGATATAATTGAAAGGGCTCAGAGAGAGTGTGATAATTCATCCCCAGCAAATCCAAAGATATTGAAAGAGAGGGGGGTTATATCTCTTCCTTTTTCCATCTTTAATTGACTTAAATAAATTTTAAAAATGTCCCTTTCCTGCTTTTAGTGGTCAGGCCACCACTAGTGTATTTCAGTTCTCTATTTTTAAAATTAATTTATTACCTCTGCATGGAAATACTTACATGGTCCTCTAGAGTTTCATTCATGAGCAAAGGTATGACTCAGATTCAATTAACCCTAATCCGGGCAAGATGAGTCCGCTGGACTCACTACGACATATTTCGGTCTATTACTGTCATTATTTTTTTCGTAGAAAAATGAGCTTTCGTGACTTTGTCACCTTGTTCGTGCTCTTCAAAAATATTTCAATGGGGACGTACTTCAAATACGTGTTTGCTATTTCGAAAAGACTAAATGAAATAATCACTATCCAAGGTAATAGAGCGCCGAAGGCGCGACCATAGCAAGTTTGTTTGCCCGAAGGGCAAACAAACTCGCTAGTTAATCATACTGTTTTCCCTTTGGTCCCAGTGCCGCCTGACGCTAATGTCTACCTTTGCTTATCTCTCTTGACCCGCGATTCGAACGGATGCACTATAAATAACCCTTCTCTCTGGGGCATTGATCCTCCCGTTGTATGATTATGGCCCCCCTTTAACCCTAATCCGGGCAAGGTGAGTCCGCTGGACTCACTACGACATGTTTCGGTCTATTACTGTCATTATTTTTTTCGTAGAAAAATGAGCTTTCGTGACTTTGTCACCTTGTTCGTGCTCTTCAAAAATACAAAGAAATTTACAAAGAAATACATACCGTAACCACAGCAAACGACCTCATTTTACATGTGAGTCTGACAGACTCACCTTGCCCGGAATAGGTTGTAAAAAAGCTTGCCCAGATGAGGGTTAAGGAGCATGTTTTGAACAATTTGAACATATGGGCATTGCCTATGGATGACAACCATACAGTTTGTGCTTCTTCCAACTATTGCTCTGTTTCTTGTTTGTTCTGGTTGTATCTACTCACAATCTGATAACAGTTGACTGAAGTGGCCCTCCTTGGACCACACTGAGCCTCTCTCAGAGAAACTAAATTTGAGTCTTGAACCATTTTGCCCATAACTGGATGTGATATTTTGACTTCTGAGCATAGGTTAGTTGAGAAATTTGGGGGGCTCAGAGGCAGTACTCCAAGTATTCCTTATTCTTCTGCTAAATTTTTGGGCAGGCTTGAGCCCCCTGACCCCCTATGAATTGCCACCTATGCTTCTGAGCTATGTGTTATAGCAATGATAAGTGTTCACTCAATGTACTAACTCCAGCCAATTTCAAAGGGGTAATGTATTTTCTTTTCCTTATATGCAAACATCATCAATGATTTTCAAAGATGCATCATTAACACATCCCTTTTCATTGAAATGCTTTATGTCTGGGACTTACAAATCTAGTATTGATCTGTAAAGCATTAGGAAGTTGTTGATACATGTACACCTATCATTTGCAGAAACATTGACACCCTGAAATTGCAAGCAAACACAAACACAAAGCACATCAGCAAAGTCACCCATACCTCTTAGCATAAATTCATTCCTTGTTCCTCTAAATTGCACTTGAAATTTTACAGCCACATTTCCCTGGGACATCAAGCTTTGCTTATCATGTTTAACATGCATGTTTATATTTAAAACAATTAGTCAAATCATGACAAGGCCTCTTCCTTAGACAGAAGAACTTCATGCACCACCAAAGGATGCATACCCATTATAGGGGGTGGAAGTTTTGCCTCCAAATATAAAGACATTGAAAATGCTGGTGAAGAAGCACTCCTGGCAGAAAGTTATATATTTAATCATCTTATAATGAATGACAAACTCACAAATTTAATCCAAAAAGTGCAATGACATAGCAAATGATGACATTTTGTGTCAAAAATACCACTTTGATGAATTATGGTCTTCTCATTACTGTTTCCCATACTGATGCATCTGGTACCACAATGATGTTTTTCTGGAAAAACCCTTCAGGGATGACTCATGCTTCACTGACTTACAACTTGGTATATGATATACTCAAGCTACTAGAACTTATTGCTTTCTCCCTGAGCATATGTTACTAACTTATGTTGAAAATGTTGGGTTACAATAAGAGAATTCAAAGTGGGATGAATAAAACCTTAGAAACCTGTGCACAGAAAGATCTGAAGGAGTTCCATTTCACAGCCTTATGAATTACTGATAAATGTAAATGGGGACTTAGATGAACCTTTCTTTACAATATTGGTAGCCAGAGTCTTTTTAAAAATCTGATTCAGGTGATTGCAGCTAGACAAAGTCCTTATTCTTAAAGTCTCCAAGAAATAACTTGTGCAAAGAAAATATAAAAATAAAAGGTTCTAACTTGTGATTCTCTTCTTCCTTGCATTGGTGTTAACTACCATGGACTCTGGTGAGGAACCTTCAGAACTGGCTTAATTAGTGATAAAGGTGTCTCTAATATACTCCTAGTTAGCTGCATATCTACAAGCCAATGAATTTTTAAATTAGATTTGATTATCAGAATTCTCAGGTTTTCAGCATGTTGTAATCCCTTTTTACCTTACCTGGGTTTACTTAACCCCTTCAGTATAATTTGGCACAATGTATTCTTCATCATGTTCCTGAATGCCATTTTTTAAATGTATTATTATTATTATGCCATGTAAAATTGTGCTGTAAACTGACTTGTTTACAGCATAATATTGCATGTGTGTTAGGTTGGGTTATGGTCAATTTTGTATACTGATGCACAGACAAAGATGGCATTTAAAAATTAAAACAGTATACATATGGCTACCATAATTGAAACACTTAGGGGTTAGCAATTCTTATCCCATTTTAAATGCCTTGAGTAGGAATACTCTGGTTGAGGAGGCTCCCAAATATCTTTAAAACAACCATGAAACCTGCCTTAGTTTTTATAAATTAAGCTAACATGGTAATTTGGAATTGCAATACAACACATGAAAACTATTGTGTCATGAACAATATTTGTGTCTCAGGTTGCAGAGCAGCAGGTGCCCATCAATGCACCAAGTCAAGTGATATGAAATTGATATGTGGATGAATGAGAGGAATAATTGAACCCCAGCAGATGCCAATTCAAATTCTCTGAAGATGTGAGACTTCTACACATCAACTGGCAGCATGTCCTTGTTTGGTGCAGCACCAGGGCCTCACACTCAGCCACAATTTCTAATCCCCATTTACCACATCCCTAGTGACTTTTCACCTCAGCAATATTTCAGTGTTCAAACTGGTTATACCCCAATGCAACAAAGCTTGGTTCCTGTAAGCCATCACTGGAATATTTCAACCCCAGTCACCATCAATGGAAACTCATGCTTCTGTCCTGTTATGCCTCAAAGCCAGTGGTTTTACTGCCCAATTGTTCAGCCTGTTAGTGTTAACATTGAGCATCAGAATGTGGGATACTCTACGAATAACCATTCCAGTCATGTACAAGATGATGTAGTGATTGATAGTGAGAATCATACTGAAATTAAGAAAAAGGTCATTTCAGGCATAAAGCTCATGCTCTTACTGCGTGGTTGCCCTGGGAGTGGTAAGACAATACTGGCAAAATCCCTTAAGGGAAATGGAGTCATCCATAGCAAAGATGACTTCTTTGTGGATCAGAGTGGAGACTATAGTTTTTCCTTTGATTTTTTGGACCAAGCTCATCAATGGAATGAAAAGTGTGCTGAAGAGTCAATGAAGAAGGGTATTTCACCAGTCATCATTGACAATACAAACATTGAAACATGGGAAATGGTGCCTTATGTCCGACTGGCCCAGTTGTATGGGTATGATGTCATGATTATGGAACCTCACACCCCCTGGAAGTACAATGTGCAGGAACTGAGTCGAAGGAATAAGCATGGAGTCTCTCGTGCAACAATCAGGAGCATGCTGAAACGATATGAGTCCACTACTGTAGAGAATCTTCTGGAAAGGGCATCTGCAAAGAATGGAGTGGAATCTAGTGAAGAAAAAGATTGTGTTGCCTCACTTGGCCTTTTTCAAACTTCTGAGAGCAGTTCATCAAGTCAGCGTTTAGATATGAGTGATCCATGGCAGGTGGCCAGTGGTTCTGCTGGATCAAATAAAAGTGATGGACCTCTTCCACAGCATGAAGCAATCAGAAACAAAGATCTTGGTGTCTCTGCCAGTTTGAGCTCAATGTCAGGAGATACAGAAGTTCTACGGGACCAGTTTAGCAACATGGGGATTTTCTCAGCTGAGCAAAGTACAAATAAATATGTGGAATCATGGATACAAACCAATTTTGATAAGGATCCAGAAACATCATGGTTGAGTGACACTGAGTCATTAGAACAGATTAACAAGAACCCATTACCACCAAATCGCCCATGGATCCCAAAATTTCAACGGAAAAGTGCAAGACGCTCTGCAACTGATAGAATCCATAGGTCAGCTTCATCTGGAAACTGCAGTCATCCGAAGGATATTTTTGTGCTTTCCCATGAGAAGTCTTCCAGCACAAGTTGGGATTGTGTACCAACCCCAGGCATCAGTTGGGAGGAATCTCATGTGTCGAAGGGCACTGGGAAGCATCCATCTCAATCCAGCAGTGCCCTGTCAGACTGCCCATTGCCTGAACGAATCAAGAGTTCAAGGACTCAGAAACCCCAGAATTTTGATTCGTCTGAGGCTTCACTGTGATAACTACTTTTAGCTCTTACATGGCTTTGCTTCTAAGAAGTTCATGCTTTGATTCTTGGAATTTCTAGCACTTGGAGCCATGACACCCTCTAGTTTCTTTCTTCTCATGTTTATGAAATTAGATATTTTAAAGTAGTCTGTGAGGTATATTAATGGCTGGAGACTGCATGAGATTTTAAAATCCAATCCTAGAGAGTTTGGTTTTTGTCCAACAGCAAATCCATTCTCTTTTGCTTGAGTAAGAAATGTAAGGGAACACTGCAAGGAGCACTGGAGATGAGAGAAAGTCAGAATTTTCTGGATCCTGATTCCTATTTGGATATGTAAGGTACTCACAGCAGGAGTGATAATTAAGCAGTGACAATCATAAGTAAACATTCTCACTTTTGAGTGGAGCTTGAACTGATATGTTTCATATATACTAGGCTGGCAAGAAGAAGGCATATTCTGTCAGAAATTTGCTTGTGTGTTCTCATGTACACGGATTCTGGTCATTTTATATTCTTCCTTTTGCCTTTTTTAAAATCATTTTTCCAATTCCAAAAAATTTTCACAATTCCTTGTGTTCCTGACTGGAGACTTGAAAGTTTGTTGCAAAATTTTCCTATTGTGGGAAAGCTTTACATTGCAATATCCAACTGCATTAGTGATATGTTTCTTTTGGATCTCTTTGAATCTTTCAAAAGAAACCTTGAGAATGCAGTTTCCATGAAAATTTAGCTTAAAAATTAGGTCATTTAGGATGTTTGAAAGACAAGAAACATACATGGAATGATTTTAAGGAAAGCTCTGACAAGTAATAGTGACAGAGATTATGAAAAAAGGGAGGTAATCACACTCAAGGTTTTTGGTGTTCATCTAATTCCATTATTCTAATGCATACAGAACTCCCATTACCATATCCAAATACTCTGAAGTGGGAATGTTTGTGAAAATTGTGGGTTTTTTTTCACTTACTAACAGTAATGCCATCATGTAAGGCAAGTGTAACAGTCTTACCCTATGTGTGGAATTCCATTACAAGTAAATTTGCAGTAACTCAATTTTATTGGAGTCATGATTGTACCTGAACTGTTCTGTGATTCGAGGTGTTGCACAGGCTTGCATAAGCTTTCATCTCCTGTTCCATCTTTTTCTGTATATGTTGGGGATGTTCTTTTTAGGGATGCAGCATTCCAAATGTAGAATTTTCATATATTCAGCTAAGTTCAAGTAATTCACTGAGCTGAGGACTCTGTATGACAAGCTAAAGTTCATATCTTTTACTGCAAAGTTCAAGCATTTAACTGAGTGTTCAACCAATCACACAATTACAGTGATCTCATAAGATTTCATATAGGCTTTCCTATATGAAGGGCAATGGCTTGCAAAACTCTTCCTGATGGGGTGCTTGCCCTATCCATCTCAGGTACCCCATCCAAGCTTGTTGACAACCTTTTTTCCTTTTTAGCCATCCATGTCCAGTCTTATTAATTGGAGAGAAGGTAGTAGTGGACTGCAAGTAGGAACCTAAAGAGGCATATATGACAGTCTGTGACAATGCTCATTGGTCTTGGTTGCACAAGATGATTTACACTAGGCATAGAATGTAAAGGCATATAGCACCTTCTAGGTTAATCTTTTCCATTTAACTAGCATAGAACTTCCTAGGAACTTTCAAAATGTGGCAAGGTTTGTTTTCCTGCCAAAATCAAGACACTGTCATTGATGAATACTGATATATCATTTGACCTCTCAGATAAAATGCTTGAACTTCATAGTGTATGATATGAATATAACACTAATTAGGATGGATGAACTTGAGTTTCTTGTCAGTTTGGTGGTGCACTTGTACCCGTTTGGGAAATACCTGATGGAAATACCTGGGAAAGTCACTGGAAAATCTCATGTTAGAATTTCTGGGAATGCACTCTGGAAATTTTTAGATGCCTGTTGTGATGGGAAAGATGCCATGAGCTGAAGAAAACCTGAGGGGGGAGGTCTACTATTTTTTTTTTATCCCCTCTCCCCTCTGTCAATTTTTCATTGAAAGGAGCTTTATCTTGTGGCAGCATGACAGAATGGCGTTCCTCAATTCCAGCCTCATGATTGTAAGGTCCCACTCTTAATTCCAGCAATAAAAGAACAAGGGCTAGATTTATCTTGATTTTTCCCAGGATGTTTTCTGGACACGGGTACTTGGTGCATCCCTGCTTCTGTCTAGTATGCCATTAATCCATCTTATTCCCAGTGGTATGAAAAGTGGGAAGTCTTGTCCAGAATTTTGGTATGTGTGAACTTAATATCCTGGTCTTGTTCTTGGTTGGTTTCATGGTCATTTGGACCTTCGTCTGTTATGGCCTTCATTGAATCTAATTCTCTCTCCTAGGCCAGGAATTTTTTCCTTCCAAGTAATTCCCCAAGTTCTAGCATTACACTAGGAAACATGGGGAATGTTTGGCCTCTTCTCCCTTGAGATTCACTTTTTTGCTGGGACCTTGCCAATTATTGTGAACTGCAGTGTATTGATAATTAAAAAAATGAATAAATCCATTGCTTGATTTGACCTTTCACTATCTCAAGAGAAAACTTCTCCAGATAGCACTTCTCCCTACAGTTGTAAAACGCTTTGAACACTGGATGTAAGTAACCCTTTCTTGGCAACCTCCTTCAACGCGTTGGTCACAGCTGACTGGAGAGTGCCTGTATAGTCAAAGCGGCGGCTTTTTAGAATGAACTTCATTCTGGGAAATAGCGTGAAGTCACAAGTCGCGAGGTCCAGTGAAGAGGGAGGATGTGGGAGCAGTGTCACCCCAAGATTGGTTAGAAATTCGATGGTACTATTGATTGCTGGCGGTCACTGCGGACAAGCTCAGTAAGGGTCAGCACAATTTCCTCATTACGACTTGTTGATGTCCTAACTCTCGTGCGTGCGAGTGGTACAGATGATTTTGCTAAGGGCGGGAATCCATTGAAGATGACGAACGCAGTGGGTGGCTATCGACAATCCGAAATGAGGAAACTGCAGGCCCGTCCTGAGCTTGTCTGCAGTGACCGTCGGCTATCAATACCATCAAAGCAGTACGTGCTGGTTGTCGGACCTCCTTGTAACTTCTCTAATGACCGTCCTCGAAGGGTACTCTTTGACAGGCAAGGCAGATGGAAGTCACAAGTTACTAGGTCTGGACTTTATAATCGATGAGGAATCACATTGCACGCCAATACCTGAATGGTGTACGTGTTGCGTGTGTAGAAAGTGGCCTATCACTGCTATACTGCAGTAACGTGCAACGTGTCAACAGTCGTTTTGTTGCGAATTGAGGGTTTCAATTCTTTAGGCAGCATTTAAGACGCACTTGTCACAGTGGTGCTATACGTGGGCTACGATCTCACCTTTTGAAACCCCTCTTTATTCCAGTGGCGTGCCGAGGATTTTTGCCAGGTGGAGCATCCGCAGCTCTACGATCCGCTCATCTCAGTTGCAATGGCGTGCCCAGAATCGCATTTTCGGGAGTTTAAAGTATGGTATAAGGGGTTCTTGTTGAAAGGTGAATGCTAGGCAAGAAATTATGGCGCGGAGAGAAAGAGTCTGAGCCCTCCTGCCCAACTACTTGCTGAGGAACTGTCCGCGAGGTACTTTGTAACCCTCACCCACACCGCTAACATATAGGATGGTCCAAAAATAATACTTCATCAAATCCTATGGGGAATGGTTACATGAACGAGCCAAAGATAATAAAAAAATAAAGATCAGCTTTTTCTTGTTTTCTTTCTTTCTTCCGTCGCAGTTTTAAAGCGTGTTCCTCCCCCGTAAAATCAAGCCTTATCAATTAAACTGGAGAGAGATGGAGCGGAAGGAAAAGCCTTTTTTTGCTGCCATGCCACGTCCTAGCAGTTGAAAGTTTTCATCATGCGTTGGTGGTACAGCAATCATCCAGGAATCTTCAAAACATTCATTCTGCACGAACACTAAACCAAGATTCAGAAATGTCTGCGTGGGAAATTCATTGACCTCTACCATAAGTAAAGTGTCGTGCTCAATGGCGGATTTTGGCTGAAGAATTAGGGGGACAGTGCAGCAGAACGGGGACGCCAAACTCTACCTGATCGATATCAGGGGAATAAAAAAATTCATTCGAGGGGGCGCCGGACAGTAGCCGCCACCCCCCTGACCCCTGTAAAACACGCCACTGGTCATGCTTCAATAATCGAAGCGAAGCTTTCCTCCATATCTGCACCTGGACCCTAAGAAAGTATCATTGGAACATGAGCTTAGCCAGCGGAACAAGCAGAGACGCTTGGCTTTCTCGACATGGTCACTCAGCCACCGAAGTTCCTCCTGAATGTGCACTTCGGAGACGTGGTTCATCCCATTTTCTGGACATGTCAGCTGCGTTTTAGGGTCAATCTGCACCTTCATGTGTCCCGTGAATTCACCACAAGTGAGGAATAAGCCACAATGTGGTGTGACCTCGGACATCGAATAATTGGACCATACTTTTTCGAGGATTAAAGAGAATATATCACATATATAATAATAATAATAATGGTTTATTGAAAATCAGGACTGTTAATGCATAAGCAAATTGGTATCCATCGTCACTTTGAGGGTGAAAATCCGAAATCATTGGTCAAGGATATGTGAAATGAAGTGGAGAAGTTGGGTTAGGTGGATGATGCGTTCATGAGGCGGATCATATACTGTAGGGGACTGCTGATGTGTAGAAGCGTTGGGTTCTGCGCTTGAATTCCAGCAAGAGATGAGAAATATTACGTCGCATGGTCAATGAGGGCACCTGCTGAAGGGGAGGGGGGGGGGCAGGACATGTCGACGAGATGGGTTGGCAAAAGGGCTTGGGCATATTTTAACGTGAGCTTCTTTCGTCTGTCTGCCAGAGATGGCAGTTGAAGAGTAGATAAAGCCTCCTTATTTGACGTAAATTCGCTCCCACGGATGAGCCGAAAAGCGCGCTTTTGGACTAGCTCAATTGAATTTGCCAAATCAGTGCCAGATCAATGAGCTGCTCCAGACAAGGGAGGCGTATTCAAGCGCTGGGACGATGTACGAGGACCAAACAGCGAGTAAATCTTCACGGGGCGCTCCGAAGGATTTTAAGATCTTGAGCATGAACAATCGTCTTGATGCCTTGGCTACGATCGCCTTGGTGTTTGCGTTCCAGTGGAGGTCGTCCTGGATCCACACCCAAACGGCGAATGCAGGTCTCTTTCGCCAAAACATGGCCTGTAATGTGGAGGTTATGATGGATGGGAGGGGACTTTGTGAAGCAGAACTGCATCGCTGTGGACATACTTGAAAACTTGGGCACCAACTTGTACGTCGTCATTGACCATCACGGAGAACAGTAAGGGGCCCAACACCGTGCCTTGGGGAATGCCACATGTGAGTGGGAGGGAATCAGAGAGGATCCCGTTGCAGCGAGTGCGCTGGGATCTCTTACTCAGGAATGACGCTAGCCAGGTAAATTAGCCATGCATCTCTCTCAAGTAAGGATATTTTCTTCGGGAGAATAGTATGATCTACCGTGTCAAAAACTTTGCTGTAATCAACAAATACGCAAGATGCTGCAAGACCAGCGTCGACATGCGTCTTTCTTTCTTACGTAGTTTCCTGCCAAAGAGTTCTGCATTCCGCTCTACGTGATTTTTCTAGCCAAGGGGTTTCTTGCCAACGTGCCTACCCCGGAGGAGGTCAACTAGGTAATCCATTGTCGAGATGCCTTTACGATTCCCATATTGAGATCCATGAAGCTTGGAGATCGTTTCGCTCATCCGTTGAAGGATAATCTTCTCCAGGATCTTGCTCGGGGTACAGGTGAGTGAAATGGGGCGAAGATCGTTCCAGAACGAGGGAGGGCTTTTCGTTGGGATTGAGGTAACGATAGCCTCTTTCCATAAGGAGGGTACTGTTCCCGCTTGGATATATCTGTGATTGCTGCAAGGTACTGCTACGTGTTGCAAGCATCATAATTTCCAGAAATGCAAAATCAGCGAGAACATTTGTTAAATCTAAACCTGTTTCCAACAAGATGCAGCCCCTCATATGAGGGGATTGATTGTTGCGCATGAGATAATGCGGCTCACTGCGGCTCACGCTGACTCCCAATTAAAAAATTCCAAGGTCTTCATTGTTATAGATATCAGGTTGCAGATACCTCACTAAGGTTCTTATTCTGTATAAATCTTGCCTAATGTTGATTTGCAATTCGATTTTCTTCAAGGGGACTTGTCACATTCTTATAAACCGGCGGACGAAAATGACTGACCTTTTTTCTGTGAATGATTTTCTCATGTTTAACATCAACGAAATTCCTGATCTATCCGCTTGAGATCGATTTCCAAAGGACTGCACGGCACTGCCTAAATTCCGAGGCCATCCATTTTGAGCGCCAAGAAAATCATTTTTGGACGCTTTTCACCTTCACCCTGGGACAGCATGACGGATGGTGATTGGTGCGAATTTCATCGCCTTTTCATCAACCTCTGAGGTAGAGGTGACAGGATAAAAAGCCAGACTGCCTTTGCTGGCAGTGTAGTCCTTATATCGCCTTGAGTACTCGGATTTATTCAAAAGATATCTGAAGCATAAGCGTACATTTCATGCATGAAAATAAGTACAAAGTGGAAAATAATTGAATGAAATCACGCTCCACACAGAATGATCCAATAAAGGAAATCGATCTCGCTACGAAGGGGTTTGATTCACGTCGAACATGTCACCCCATTTATCCCGTCGCATACTGGATTTCACTGCATAGAGACACTCATTGCAGCATCAAAGACAAATTCTCATTTGACCGTTAGCAGTTTCAACTCAAGCGCAAACGAGCTGACATCGCTAAAAAAAAAATATTTAAGGAAGATCAGTGGGGCTGAGATTCCTGAATGTTGAGAGAGTCCTCTTCTACGCTTGGATTTCAAATAAACTTATCCAGGGTTAACTCGAACAGCTTTTCTGAATAGACGCGAAGGTCTCACGAGTATCTCCGAGATGACATCATTGAAATGGAATGTGCGGCCAGGATGAAACTTCTCGTTGAATGATTAGCACTAGACAGGGAACAGTGCGAAATAGCTAAGGACTTTCACGCACACATTCACTCGTATCTCGGCCCATGACTCAGTCTCCACTCAGGAAGAAATCGAAATCGAAACAAGGTGAGCATTCCAGAACCCAATTGGTTCTTCCCAACCAACACATGTCAGCACTACATTCTTCATCGGTACGTCAGCTTCGTCACTACTACTCGCATGAGACTGAGATAAGAGAGACAGATAGAAAAAGAGGAGCAAATTCCGCACACGACAGAAAGGATTCATTCGCAGGCGGAAAGAGGGGTGAGTACGGTGAAAGCAGAGATTATAAGACGCTAAGGTTTTCGCAGTCCTTGGCTTCCTCTTTCCCCCACACTCTGGAGAAGACTCTCTTTATCCTGCGACTGGCTCTCACAAGCTTGGTTGGTCGCCTGTGGAGTTCTCCACTTCGTGGCGAGTCCGTCGGCTTCAAGTCCTTGTGTAAATTCACTTGTTTGATCAGTCCAACCAACAGCTCATCCACATTGTGATTACAGGCCACTGAAATTTCGATGAACTTCGTCTTGTACGAGATGGCCAGGCCTCTCCCATCTGAAAAGAACAGTCAGTACAAGAGGTTCTCTGAGGAATTCGAATTGAGTGAGAAATGGGGTTTCAAGAGGTTCGAGACAAACCTTGCTCGGAAACACTTCTGCTGCGAACGAGGTCAGTTTTATTGCCAACGACGATTGCAGCCCTAGACCTGAGGAGATCCCAACTCTGCAAATGAGCCAAGAGGTCTTCTACCCTCTCCAAACTGTTATTATCTGTCACCGAATACTGGAAGACGAATGCGTCCGGGGGATTCTGAATGATCGAATCCAGCTAAAAGGGAAGTAGAACAAGTTTTTATGCCGAACGTTCGTTAAGACGTTCTCTAATTTGAGGTAAAATACACAAATTACTACCCACTTTGAGCCCATGGATAATCTTGAAAATGAGCTCACACTCTTCACCGTTGACATTCACGCATAAGGACATCTCATCCGATTCCTCTGAAAGAGACAAATAATCCTTTAAGCTCAAAGTCTTTGAGTGGTCTGAAGTACCAATACAATAAATATAATACTGAATAATATTGCAAATTAGAGCATACGAACTGAACGTTGCTCATAATATGTATGCAATCAAGTGAAACGTGTATAGTTTGTCCAGTCTCAGAAAGGACCAGGTAGCATGAGCTCTTATTAGGGTATCATTTCTTACGACCTGTCAAAGCTCTACTTTCTTCAATCTCAAACCTGGTTTTTTTTCTGGGAGGGGGAGAGGAAGACATAAGCATGATAAATGAGATGCACTTTGTGGATGATGGAAGAGTGGTCCTTTCTGGGGCCGGGAAAAAACCTAAAAATAAAAATGAAATTTCTTCACGTGGTTTAGATAAGGGCCTGATTTGAAGGTATCATAATTGTCAAGATAGTAATGTAGTTATGGATAATTTAAAGTAGAAGGCAGTCCTGAACAGCCATGAAGTGGAGAAAACAGAGTCTTGTTGCACAAATGGTGTCTGAACACATGAACATCTTCCTGAGTCCGTCCCAGGAGATTCGGTCGGTCAGAAGACTCGGCAGGTAGCGTCTTCCTGCTGTCTCCATCATGAAACGCCATAAATGTCACACTTTCTGAAGAAAGTCATCATTTAAATTTTATATTACTGATAATCGCTATTCTTGAGCATTATAACGGTTAGAATGGCGTTTGAAGAAATGAAGGTACTTCCAAGAATCACTGTAGTTTTTTTTTTAATTTCCTATAGATATCATCCGCACGTCAGTTGCTATATTGTCGAATTTTATTTTATTTTATTGCAGTGAAAGCACTGAAAAGCATTATTCATATTTTCCTTTTTCTGTCTGAGTTTGATTTCCATGGAATTGTTCTTTTCACTGCTAACGCAGATTATCGTCACACATGGAAAAAATTAGATCCAAGGAGGAATTGCTTCTCATGGATGCCACTGTCAGCTTTTGAATGTCTCGTGCCATTTCCCGCGGTTTATCATCTTGAGAGATATCTCTCTTAATCATCTCTTTACAGACGATTTGAAGGGATGAAAGGAAAGGTGGTCTATCGGCAGAAAATGTTCCATAAAAGTATAGTTGGCTTAGTTCTAATAGAACCCTTTTCCTTTCAGTGAAAATGGCAATTTTTGGGTATTATGTAAAGGACGAACTGGTCTATCGATGCATACCACTTTCCCTCACTTTTAAGAATACAGTCACTGGAATATTACCTTTTCCGTGCAAAGCCCGAGGAAAGAATTTTTCTGTTGATGGATCTTTTCAGTGGCCCCTTCATCCTTGCGTTTGTTCCCACAGGTGATTTTAAAATCAGCCTGAGCTCCTTGTTCCTTGAGGCATTATCCCTCACGATTCTTTCTCCGTTTTGTAGGTGAAGGTCTCAGTTTCCTAACCCTCTTTCATTTCCATGGCCATGACTCAGCATACCAAAAACATGAGGATCGGGCTGTCTAGGTCGTGTTAGCTTCCTGCCACCTTACCCCACTTCCGTATCTACGACCTGAATTCCTTTTACCTCGTCCTCTCCGTTCTACTCCTCGACCTCACGTCTTCCTCAGTGAAGAAAAGAGTTAGCATTGCTGGCTTTCTGCCAGGGCTAACCATCGCGTGGCTTGACCTGGTTTCTCCCCTTGCCAACGTCGATTGTGGTTTTCAGTTTTTCTCCTCCCTATGTAACCAGACGAAGCCTTGGAACTGACCTGTTTGTCTCTCGTAGACATTGATGCACTCCGAGGTCATGAATTGATTGACAAGAGCCGTTTTCCCCACTCCCTGGAGGCCCAGAAGGGCAACGCGGTATGTCTTTGGCGGTGAAAGATGCTCGATCTTGACGATTAAAGGTGGGAGTGGGGTCGCGGAAGGAGATTTCCCAATCTCTACTGTCGGCGGTTTGATCACGTCCTTGGGTCCACCTCCACCACCACCTCCGTTACCACCCCCGCCCACTCCAGCGAGAGGGGTCGCTCCTGCCTCGAACTGTGCAGCCGTCACACTGTTACTTCGAGAATTTCTCCTCCGTATGGAGTCTCCTCTGTTGATCAACCCTGCAATGCAAGAGACAAAAAGATTTCAGGACGCACGAAATTGGCCCATCCCTTATTAGGGCAGTGTGTCAGCCACAAGATCATTCCATCTCCGCTTCTGATGCATTTCATTATTTTGAGATGCATATTACCTTTGTTCAACAGGCTTGTCCAGTTTTGGCCATTATCTTTGGAGTATTGTCGGACTTTGTAGCGACTGTTGTCCAAGAAGAAATGAAACCCGGAAAGACTTTTAGACTTTTGAGTGCAAGCTAAAAAACAAAACTGAATTACCCAATGATACCCTGCCAGCTTCAATTGCAGGTTAAATGCTAGCATGATTCATGTTATCATTCTCCCAAAGATCTAGAAGTTTCCAGCATCGGAAAGGTGGCGAAAGCAGCCTCCTTCATTTAATACGAGTAGGAAGAGGGCTGCGTGCAAGGAGATTGTGAGTGCGTGTGCGTGTGCGTGGGTTTTGGATTCTTCCGCATTCAGGAGAGGTCGTGCCCCCATGGATGATAGTGAAAGATGCTCCTCCAAAATAAGAATAGGCGATATATCTCACTGAAGACTTCGCTGACGTGTGAAACATCACCAGCAGAAAAAGGGACTAGGAAAGGAGCCAAGGCTCAGTCATGGGTGCATTGTTTCCTAGTCATCAGCTAATAAGGGAACAGTGCATTATAATGCGTCCGTTGCCCTGGGTGTATGAAGTGTCAACCCAGTCGACACAGTTGTTTACGCATTGACCTGGCGTTTACAATTTTCATGTTGAACTAGCAGAAAAATCTCAAGTAAAGTCTTATTCGTTTAGTTCTTCCTGGTTGAGCCATGATTCACCATACAGTCATACTGAACTAGCCTGGGCAGACAGAAGAATCCCCCGCCCTGGCCTGTGTCACAGAGTATTCTGTGCCTGCGTAGAAACAGATATGAAAAAGGAAGCAGATAGGACCAAGAACATTTTTGTCCATTCGAGATTTCACTCAACTTCCACTGGGAGAAGATTGGTATAAGAGGGTCCAATAATTTGAATCAGGTCGGGCCAGAGCACATATTTTTTAAAATTTTAATTCAACAATTATTTTTACTTTTTATTCCGAGGCTTTCGGTTGTGGCGTAAACATATATTCCAATCATTCCGTTGCTAAACACTTGATACTCGACTCTCGACGTGAATGAGACAGACAGCAAGGACGCGTGGGTCTCTTCGTGGACTGGTTTTCCTCGCTCGAGCCTAAAACATAAACACCTTCATAAAAGTCAGACTGAAGACTCGGAATATATTGCGTCCTGACATCTCACTCACGAACCGACACCAATTTCGTCCTTTCCTTGGTCAGTCAAATTTAGATTTCTGTAGCTGATCATGCTTGTGCTGGAGCACAATCACGATGATAATGGAGAATGGAACAGAATGCAATTCCTGGGAGACTTCATAAGCTTTTGCTGTTGTATCCATGGTTTTCTAATTTCCAGTAGATTTCATTGCCAATTCAGTTGTTATTTCTGATTTTCGGATTCGAAAACAGATTTTCCCTCTTATTTCGATGTCTATGAATTTTTAAAATGTTTTATCGATACAGAACTCAGATCATCACCGTCAGTTGGGAAGAAAGCGAGTAAGAATCGCCTCTTAGGGATGCCACTGTCGACTTGCGAATGTTCCACGTTAAGGTACCTCATCTACAGCTTAAATATTGAATTAACGGACAGGCAATTTATTGATGGAAGGCTACATCTTAAACTCCACAACTTTCCGTCGAAAGTTGGTTCATGGAATGAAACAGATGGCGAACGTCAATATAGGCGATATGCATACGTATGGAAAAGACGCTTGGTCGAAAGATTCTAGAGTTTCGGAGTTCAAAGGAATGAAGTAGGGGAGAAAGATGAACCTAACCCAAAGAATCGTCTATAGCAGGGGTTCTTAACTTGGGGTCCATGGACCCCCAGGGGGTCCGTGGAGGGTCCATGGAAAATTAAATATATAATTGAAGGTAGCTCCCGAAAAACATCATTTATAATCATAAATCCAGGTGTTCCAAAGTTTCTGATAACCGGGATTTGGGGTCCACGGGTGATACTTGAGGATCTGGGAGGTCCGTAGGTGCAAAAAAGGTTAAGAACCCCTGGTCTATAGAAGGAATAACTCCACAGGTCCATAGCTTATTGAATTCTTTCATTATGAAGAGCCTGCATAGAGATTATTTAGAATTCTACATAGCTATGTAGATCCCTTTTTTAAATATAAAACGTGTGAAATTCTGCGAAAAATGCAAAAGAAGAGTGCCTCTGTAGAATCTCTATAGAGGCATTCCATAGACAACCCTCGCCTGGGCCCCCATTTACAATTACTTTCTGTCCTCTGACCGACTATCGTTAACTTCTCCAGCTATTCACCATGCAGTGAATCCCATGTACCTCCAATCTAGCTTCTAATCTCTGGTGAAGAATGGCTTCAAACGCTTCAAAAGCAAAGTCTACACACGGCATGTCGACGGGGTTCCTTTTATCTATCGTGTCCATTGCCCAGTCGTAAAATTCTAGGCGATTTGTTGAGACATTAACGTCGCTTCCTCGCAGTCGTGCTCAGCTTCCCAAATGGGCGAGTTCCCTGCGAGAAAGTCTACGGTGTTTTTCACTTGGATTAATCTTTTTTCCCACTTGATTCGAACAACCACGCAAGGGACACGCCCGATTGCACGGGCACCCGAATCAAGTGAAAAATTGTCTGCTGGTATGAGAAACACATTAGGACGTGATCCCTCGTCATGCTTTCCACGATCTCCGAAATACTATCTAGAGATACTATTCTCGAAAATTATTAATGGTACCACAAGCTCCTGACCCATTTCCTTGATCGTGAAAGAGATCGTGATGATGCTAGCCTGAACGTGGGAGGAGCAAAAAGCATGAGCGATATAAAGAACCAGGTCAAATGAGAATCCGGATTCCTAAAAGAGACTTGTGGCGAAACGGATAAACATCTGAAGTCGATGAAGTCTGTAGAATGAAAGTAGGTTAAATGGCTGTAGACGAGGTGACTACACCCATAATTCTGTATTTCTCCTGCCATATCAATCCTCTGCTACATGAGGCGAGTGAATTCTTGGCTCATCACCAGCCAACATTAAGAGGGGAACGACAGTGGGAGCGCCGTTGAGAGAAGCTGGAACACATTTGTTGTCGTTCCAACGGATTCAGTATCAACTATTGAACGCCAAGACTACGTTGCTCCGCAGGTTTAATGCCTTTGACATACAGAAACAAAGAATAACGAATGATACTTCATGTCGCTCGATGCCGGAGTCAGCGCAATGCTTTCCAAAAGAAGAAAAACTGCCTCTCGGAATCGTAACATTTCATCCAAGCCTAAAGGAATCGTCCATCATCGAACTGGAGTCTCTTCGATTTGTTTCGTAAACACGACTGCATCCGGTGATAACAAGAATGATGCAACGAGAAGTGCCTGCCTGTAACGCAGCCAGCCTAAAATTAGAAGCTTGGACTCACCGAGAGTGCTCGGGCCAAGCCGACATGAACACGACGCCAACAGAGAAGTCATACACCTCTACGAGGTGATCTCTCTCTCAGGGGATTTCCCCAATTTCACGCAGGTTTGTCGTAGCTCATGAAAGTGAATCACCTCATATACTGCACGTGACCTTTCCACGTAGCCCCATGACGATTCGGGATTCCCCTTGCTTCACGAACTCCTTACCTTTGGGAGTGAGACTGAAGTTGCGGAGTCGATAGGAATCTTCGTCCAACGTGAGGCTTTCTTCGGACCCCTCGTTTCTATTCGGCGACAGATTCCATTTGCGAGGAGAAGGTCCAGTCCCGATCGCAGTCGCAGATCCACCGGGTTCGGGCGTGGCCCGAGGCCCTATCCGCTTCGACAGGCCTCGATTCGGAGTTCCTGCCCGTGCCGTCCCCTTCCTCCCGAGAGAAGGCGACCCCTGAAGGGAAAAAGCCACTTTCACACTCGGGGAGATTATGCTCGCATCATTACCAAAATCCATGCGAACCATTTGCACGCGTACAAACGTATTCATTGATGAGGCGTTTCCGTTATGGCAATTTCCAACTTTCGTTCGTCAATGGCTTGACACCGCAGGGACTGAAATCGACATCTCTCGTATCAAAATTTCCCTATTTCCCTAAATGCCTATTCTTTAACCAACATCAGAAGCGAGCTGCAAATAGCAGCAGAGACTTTTCGTTTCCGTTTTCTTTATAAGGTTTCTTCCTATGTTATAGAATAAAGATATGCTGAAATATTCAAACCAGGAAGACGTCCAAGAAATATCGGATTGCAACGACAGAGCCGATGATAAGCTCACTATTTTAAGTCAGAATGAAGCCAAACCTACAATCGCGTCAACGTCTGAGATTTTATTCCCGTCTTGAGCGCAGTTTGATATACGTGCTGTGAACTCTGTTCTCTAGGCAAAAACGACACGGGGGTGGAGATTTGCCCCCCCCCCTACCCCCAACATTTCCAAAATGACGTCCTTGGTCCGTCTAGTCCGTATCCGGTTTGGTTTATAACAATGAAGTTCTAACGTCTAGTTCGGTTCGGCCAGTTGATTTCTCGACTCAGTCACTATTTCAGCCCACTCCTTGCCTTAGAAAGAGTTCGCGTCCGGTTTAGGTTCGCATACCGTTTCCATACATCGAATGATTATCTCTAATTCGCATACGGCTCAGCTCACTTATTTCCAGGTACACATTCCGTTTGGGTTCCTTGTTTGAAATTTAAATCAGGTTCGTTGGTCGCTTGGTTAGGAATTCATCTGAAAGAGGGTTTCCGGAGGTCGAGTTTGCTGTACACACTAGAGTGGCATGCGTTTCTATCACCACTCACCAAAGTAAAAAAAAAGTCACCATTGCAGGACCTATTACTTTAAATTTCCATATTGACAGTCTGTGGAAAGTACTGAAAATAAATCATTTTCATTTTACCGTTCAATCATTCATATGATGTTTTTGTTCGTTACGTTATTAAGATCCCAGGTAGCACATAACATCGATACAATATCGATTAGGTGTCGAATAAATGCGTCAATGTCGGCAGTTCTTGCTTTTTCATTCCGTCAATATCGATTAAATTAAGTCATCTACAGGACAGATATCTCATGTGGCACGTCCGCGTGAAAGACTTGCCAAACAATCAAAGCTGGCTGAAGGGTACATCCAACCTGCCAGAATCCATATCGATGATCGGTGTCCCTGTCAGTCTCGAACGTTAATCCTTTCGTTCATCCCGTACCCTCACCCCGAGCCTAATTCGGCACGGGGACGGAAAAAATGTTTAAATTACTTTACACCCATTTCACCCAAGAGCCACTCGTCCTGAACCAGAGGATCCGCCCGGCCATTGTCTACCCAATAGTAACCATGGCGAACAAGTAATTGTCTAATGCACAATTGATACTGTCCTGGGAAATACATTCGAAATTTAGATTTATTTGCAAATTGAGTGAGAGAGTGCAAAAATACGCTATAAATGGCGCTAGAAATAATTTGTGATTGAAAGGGGTAAGTCAGCGTTTATTCTATGTATTACATTCATGTTGATTCTACATTGGCTTAATGTTAGCCACTTATAACTCATGGAAGCTTTAGCACTCCCCTCATCATCCCTATCTTATGTATGAATATGTGGTCCAAATAATCCTGGACCACAAAGCAAACGAAAAAAGATCCTATTATCGTTGAATGAAATGAAGTCGTATTACAA